TTTATATTCTTTCTTTATTTTCTATCTTAATTATGATGTGCTTGTAGGGTTTCTATTTGATCTTGTCTATTGGGCTCCTGTGTGATTGCCCATATGGTGATGTCTATCTCATTTCTTGTAGAGAGATTTTTCTGTCACTCTCATTGTGGAAGAATGTCATTGATATTTTGGTGGGTATTGCACTGGATCTGTAAAGTGGTTTTAGTTGTATGGGCAGTTTTATAATATTAATTCTGCCAACTCAGGAACATGGGAACTCTTTCCATCTTCTAAGGATCCCAGAAATTGTGTCTATTTTTAGTAATTGTTATGATTTGCTTTGTGCCCTAAAAAATGTGATCTATTTTAGAGTATGTTACATGGGACACTGAGAAGAAAGGGAATTCAGTTGTTGATGGATGAGATATTTTCTAAATGATTGTTTAATTAATAGTGGTTTTTAGTTGTGAAGAATCTAGTGGTGAGGCTGGGTGTTGATATCACTCAATATTGATGTCTTGGTTCTACTAGATTATTAATATTGAGAAGGGTTTATTTTATGTCCATAAAGGCACCATTGTTGAGGCATATTTACAATCATTATATGTTGTTTTTGGATTATTCCCAGTATATCACTTTCTTTAACTCTTCTGATTAATTGTGGCTTGGTGATTATTTTGTCTGATATGAGAATACCTACCCCTGCTTGTTTCCAGTTTCCATTTTCATGATCTATCCTTTCTCAGGCATTCACTTCATTCTGTGGGTGTTTTATTTTGAGTCTATGTACACAGCATATGGTTGGGGGATTTTTGAATCCAAACTGCCAGTCTACATTATTGACTGAAGCATTTATACCACTTGCATTTCATGTTCTTATTTTTGTCTTGTTAGTGATTTCTAATTTCATTTCTTCTGTGTATAATATTTCATTAGTGTATCCTGTACTGCTTGCTTAGTGGCTATGAATTCTTTTAGTTTCTGTTCATCACCAATTCTGAACTATAGATTTCTATTGACATAGAAATTATAACACCTATTATCTTTCAGGGATCCATATGTGTTTTTCAGAACCTTTGGCTTTTAAGTTTTGGGCTACTAAATCAGTAGAAATTTTAATTGTTTTACTTCTAAATGAGATGTGCCATTTTTATCTTCATGTTTTCAAAATTCCAACAACTATGTTACAAATTTTAATTTGATGTGTTATAAAGAGGACTTTATTTTGAATATTATATTTTGAATATTATCTATTTGCACTTTAAAATGCCTCTTGCATGTGGATTTTCATCTCATTCCTAATATTTGAAAACTTCCCTCGTACTATTTCTTTGAAGATGTTATGCAAACTTTGTAGTATTTTTCATTTTTTTCTTTTTAGATATACATGACAGTAGAGTGTATTTTACATATTATACATACATGGAGTATAATTTGTTCTAGTTAGGATACTTTTCTTGTGAGTGTAGTGAAGTGGAGTTTCTTGGTAGTGTATTCATATATGGACATAGGAAAGTTGTCAGATCCATGCTACTGTCTTTTCTATTCCTATCCCCTCTCCCTTCTCTTTATTCTTCTGTGTCTAATCCACTGAAGCTCTACTCATCAACTCTCCACC